AGGCCATTTGAAGCAACTAAGACCCGCGGTGGTTTGAACGTTATTAAACCTTTGTCGATGAAAACAGGATGAAGGAATTGCGCTGCAAGAGTTGGTCGGTCCCAGATCTAATCGCGTAAACAAAATTCAAAATGGCCGAGACGTAAACAAAGGTAAGATGCAATAGAATATTTTAATTTTACCCTCAGTCTGCATTTTACCCCTGGTCTGCAGTCTGCAGTCTGCCGCATTTTACCCTCAGTCTGCAGTTTACCCCCGGTCTGCAGTCTGCAGTCTGCAGTCTGAATTTTACACTGATCGAATAGAAAACATGTACAGAGAACATGTTTTCTATTTCTTTTAGAAAACACCGCGACAAAAAAAAGGAAAACAACTTGTTAACTTTGATTATCAAAATGTAAGTTCTCTTTGCTCGCGCCTTCATTACGTCAACAGCTCGTGCTAGTTCTGTGTTTCTATCGAGTTATTGAAACACGATTTTTAACCAATCAGCGCGCTATTTTCTTAGGACTCACTGTTTTCTAAAAGCAACTGTTATCCATACCAATTCATTTGTTACTTTCTCACGAGACAGACGGAGTGCTTACACTGTTTAGCAGCAGGATACACCTGAAGAAAGTGAATAACTAACTTGACACCTGCTGACAGGTTTTTCTTCCCAAGTTCCTCTAACTTACAAAGAATATGTTCGCTATGTATGAGGAGGTGCGACAGTGTTATGCTAATTCAGAGCAAGAGTAAATAACTAATAAACCGATTGGGCTAAAGCCGGTGTTTACATCCTTGTTGCCACGTTATTGAGATATTATTGTCGCCTTATTCACCTTATTAATTTAGGGCCGGAGGTTACCATTGTGCAATTTGTCACACACAACTGATTGCACGGGAGGTTGTACACAACAATTGCAACCTCCCAAGTGAATCATCCCACGTTAACAAACACGTTAGCCGAATCAGTCTATAGCACATTTCCACGACATCGTCAATAGACTTCAATCACCAGAATTCACTTTGTTTTCCTTTATTGTTTAAATTTTGAAGCCCCAATGTGGTTTAAATAACAATTGTCCTAATAAGCATAAGAAACAGAAAAATGAATGATACGGGTAACTGTAGTCAAATGACGCTATCGTGCAAATTTCTTATTCGGGGGAACATGTTCCAGCGTTATTCATTTTTCTCTTTTTCCTGGGCTACAAAACTGGAATGATTGAATGTTTTCCACGTTCCTTTAACCCGTCGAACTATTATCCAGTTTTAACAAAACTGAGGATGTCTCGTCGAGAAAAGCAACGCAGTGGAAGAGACCATCGAGGTTTTTTTTTTTTTTTAATTAAAAGGCAAAGGAGGGGAAAGGGGAATCTAACAACCGTCGACTGAGCAGTGCTGTACAGATCTGTGCAGAGATGAAGGTTTAAGGTCGTCCCGAAAATTCTGTGTAAACAACACACGAGTTTTAATCCCACACCACCTCCTCCTTCCTCCTTCCCTCTTCTCGGTAACATAACGTTTTCCAAAAGTGATTATTAAAAAAAAAACGAGAAACAAGTGATGTTACGTACCTGACAGCAACATAAAGGGCGGTACAACCGTTTTCTCCTTTCATGTCGATATCTGCCCCGTTATCCAACAAAAAGCTCACCAGTTTAGCTTGATCACATCGTGCAGCATGGTGCAGTAACGAAAAGCCTTCGTTATCTTTAGCCAATAATACTTCTTTGTCTACTATCCCTGTTTCTTGCAGGCCTTGATTTGCAATTTCGAAAATGCTAGTACCCTTCCCCTGTGATAACATTTTCAACACATGATGTTGGTCCAGTCCCTTAGGTTTTTTGCCTGACGCGGACAGCTCCATGCCTGTGCAATCTTTCTCGAGGGGTCTGACCGTATTACTCCCAGGCGAAGTTCCTTTGCGGAACGCGCCTGACGGGCTCCCTGAAACAACAAAGACGAACATCATGAAACAAAGCAGAGTGACTAACGTCACTAGCTTCCTCCGCGCTGAAACATGTATGTAGCAAAGCACTGTGAAGGCATCAAGTGAGAGACAAAAAGAACAAAAAGAACTGTTTTCCAGGACCGTTTGTCAAACGCAAAGGAACAATGTTCAGCTGTCGTTTACAATATTCAGACCCACAGAAGCAATTGTCTGGGAATAAATATCACGACAAGCAAACAAAGTTATTATATATTCCTGATTGTTCCAACACGGTAAAAAACAAATTCATATATGTTATATATATATTCTTTAAGCTAAATAGCGCATCAGTAAGCCTTGTGGATGTTGCATAATCAGTATGCCTTCAGTTAGTCAATCATTTCAACCGGATCGAACCAAGATCAACTAAGTTAGAAGTGCACTGGTTCTTTACCTTATTACTAATGAAAATGATATGGGTTGGTTTAATCTTAAACTACTTGTTATCAAGATCAAGTCTGGATCAGTAGAACAAAGTTTTTACCTTTTCCGTTCGCGAATCTTACATACTGATTTTCTGTGAGATTGACGTCCGCCATTTTAACGGGCTCGCTCGCCTCGCCAATTCAATCTCTCGGATAGATCTGTCCAGTAGTATCCTTGCCAGCATCTAACACTGAGAGAATAACAATGATATCTTGCAATGAAAAGTTTAAAACAATTCTGTGCTCAAATATAATTTCTTTGAGAAAGTAAACGCTCACTGAACGTTACCGATTACTGAAGAGACGATCATATCAATTAACTTATAGCTACTGATTTGACATGGCAAATGATGCATGAAGCCATGAAAATCAACGAATTCCGATGAATTTTAAACCAGGAAAATAGGCTATAAGGTGGAAAGCAGATAAAATTGACGAAAATAATCTAAAATCGCACTTCCACAGAGGTGCAGAAGTGCATAACATCCGCATAAAGATTTCCACAACAACAAACTGAGCGGGATGCAATCAATACTCATCGATGTTAACGTTTTCTTTATCAAGCGACGTCATGAGAAAACATTAACAAATTAACCCTGTGGAACGCAGCAGATTTCACAGTTTTAAAATTCGCAACGAAAGAAAGCTCCTCTGTGTCGTTTCATTGACAATATTTTATGATATCTTACCTGTTTGTACTCACTATCAATGGATGAAGCGTAAGCGGATGCAACCGTAGTCTCCGACTTTCAAAATCGTTTCAAGTGGTAATGATCCATCTTATTTACTAAACGCTATGTAAATGTGGTCGACTTAGCATTACGTACTGTGGTGACTGTTATGGGTCTTTGTGGCTGATATTAGCCAGGGAAAAACGTATACCCTAACTTGCTGTCGAACAACACTTAAGAGAGACCGACCTTGTGACTTGGTTGCGTGACATTCAGTGTCATTACTTATGGATGAGTCGAATCGTCACTACGCAACACGAAAACTTAGAAACAAACACCGACAAAGCATTCGTTCGAACGTATTGAAACTCACCCGCGATTCAGCGACATTCACACAAACATAACCTTAATTTACACACGATTAAAGTAAAAGCTAAAAAGCTTGTGGAATCGAGTATTTTATGTTATTTAGAGTATTTAATAACAAAAACGGGAAATAAAGAATGACTCGCATTTGGCGAGGGGTGGGGTGGGAGATACGCAATTCCAAATATACAACAGCAGCAAAATGCGTTTTGGTAAGCCATTTTCAACTATTTTCACTTCCTTAGAATGAACTTCAGTCTTTCAAGCAAAACTTCTGTGTTTATTCCTTTTTAATAATAGACCGCTTACGATAAATTAATTTCCAAACTAGCCAACAGAACAACATAATTTATCAATACATCCCTCAATTTCTCGCTGCATTGAAATTGATTTCCTTCCCCGGGAGCCAAGTTAGCATATTGGCCTAATTGCGTATATGTTTTTGTACCACCTTTCCTTCTCGAGCGTAACTTCGACAGTGTGTACCATAATATTGTATATTTTCCAGTCATATTACCACAGCGAAAACATCATCGTTGATCAAGCGGCCAAAAGAGAAAGTTTTCAACGCCGGTGCAATCCGTCAATTCTCTCTTTTAAAACTATTAACATTGCAATTAATTTAGCAGAAAAAAACGAAAAGAGAGAGTGACTAAAAAATCATGCAGTATTTGGCGGAACAACCGTATCGGGGTGGAGGAGTTAAGCAATTTCCAAATACAATGGCAGCAAAATACACTTTGATAAGCTATTTTCTGGTATTTTACATTTCAATGAACTTCGGTCTTTCAAGCAAAACTTTTGCGTTTATCCCTTTTTAATACCAGACCGCTTTCATTATAATAATTTCCAAATTGGCCCCGAGGCTTGAGCGAAACAGAACAAAAAAAAATTATTTATACATCGCTCAGTTTCTCGCAGCATTCCTTCCCTGAGGCAGTCCAACTTAGAATATTGGCTTATCTAGCCTTCCGTTTTTCGTTCTCTCGGCTGTTTTTTGAAAGTGTGTAGTGTGTGTCATTACATTGTGTATTATTCTGTCAAATAACAGCTGCTCAGCAAGGTTCAGACAGCTCTGAACCATAGCTATTTTATAGATGATTAAGGCTGAAAAAGGAAGTTTTCAATGCCTATAGAATCTTTCTATCTTTCTGATCAAATCCAAGATCTGTCTCACTCATCAGAGCCACCAGCAATTTTAATTCCACTTTGCGAATTGGGCCTTCCCGCGGCGTCCCCGATTGCTACCGCTAGGTGATATCCCGCTGTCTTTACCTGCTACTCCCTGCACTTTGCGGCCTTTATCGATCCGTGGTTTTGCATCGATCAGGGCTGCAAGGCGAATAGATCGACCAAATCTGAAAAACAAATTCATTAGCCATCTATTTGAGAACGTCCAGTTAGCGTTATTTTATGCTGAATCATATCTGATCGTTAACTTTGCGGGAATGAAATCTAATGGCGAGGTATGCGATTGTTTATGGAGCAGTGTTGGCCAGACAGTAACTAGGTACTTGGTTGTGACGAGCTAGTGATCGACTATTTAGTAAATCAACGCAGTACTAAGCATATGGAAACTGAAATATGTTCATAATAGAAACGAAAATAATGTAACAGCCACTGACGACAGTACAGTTCGTACTTATTATCATGTTATTATGCAAAATATCACACGTGCAGCCTCCACCACTCGATTGGTCGAAAAGAAAGTGAAGGTGTCGAAGAGCTAAAAGAAAACAATACCTTTAATAAAAGCAACCTAAGCTCTCTCTGTTGTTAAGAGCTAATGCAAATGTTTTGCATTTTTACAATGCGATGCTTTGGCAATGTTTATTTTGCGTTCGGTTCGCACGAAAATGCGGTCCTCATAAACTACGGCAATTTCAGTCGATTCAAACGCAATGATGAACGTCGACTTCGTTCCTTCGTCGCTGGCGACTTCTCCCGATGAAGATGGTATAAGTTTTGAATTTGAATCATTGCCACACCGAGCGAACAATCTCCTTGCGACTACGTCTGGGGCTAACGGACAAGTTGCTGACATCCAAACTAATTTATCAACGGCTACTATGGCGGACGTTTTGGATGAAAATGGCGCAAGTACTCTACATCATTCTGCAAGAAACAACGATGCTCAAGCTATTGATTTCATGCTAAAGGCAGGTGCTCGAGTTGATGCTTACAACAAAGACGGATTAACACCACTTCATGTAGCTGTGAGGTAAATATCGGCTATAGAATTAACAATTCTTGTGGTGTAAAGTTCAGTTTTGAATTTTGTCCAGGAGAATGAAAGAAATCCAGTCTAGGTAACAAACATGTATGACCTTTCAGTACGCAACGAAATAACCAGAAAACAAATATTACTTTGTAATTAAACGAAAAGAATCTAATTGGTTCACGTCGAGTATTGAAACTATTAATCTAATTTTTCCTTCGCAAAGTTCACAATGGTTGCCTAAATTTTTTTTTTTCAGTTTTGTTTTTCGCTAGGAGCGCCTATATTGACTAATTCAGATAAAAATATTGCCAAGAAATTTCATTTGCATACGATTTCAACAAAGCGTGCTCACATGACCTCGGCTCTGCCATATTTGTTGTCAAAAAGCATTAACATTTGAATAAATTCGAAATAAGGGGACAAAAAATGAATCAATGACATGGTAAGAAAGACTCTTTAAACATTACATTCTTTCATCGGCAATACCCGGGTTACAACACTAAAAGCGAATATACTGTTTGGTTGCTTGCGTCCCAAAGTGTGATATCTACATACAATCGTTGCAAACTCTTCCGGCGGAATGAACACATCTATGAGAAATCAAGACAAATCACCATTTTTGAGATGGCTTGGTAAGGCAAGAGTTCTTTTTTTGTTGCTTTGTTTTGTTTTGTTTTTTTGCGCGTTTTTGGACCGCCGAAAGGTAATGGAGGTCCATAAACACGTCCAGCAAAGAACCAGGCCAATTAATATCCAGGCATCCATGACCAATCAAGCTTCGTCAATAAGTATAGAGCATTTTTGTCCAGCAAACATGCAAATTTACTGGAAGAAAAGGAAGCGTTTACATAAGAAAAGAGTTCAGCTCCCACAGGATTGGTTTGGTACACCAAAATGGCCGCCGTTCCTTTGTTTTGGGACACCAATATGGCTGCCGTGACGTCATGTGAAAACACTCAATAGATAATCGTATGAATGCGAGTGCAATTAGGGATTTACACTACGAGTAATGTCTAAAAATTCTCTCAAAATTGCGCGGGCCTTCAGACGATTACTTCTTGATTATAGGACTAAGAAAATTGCTCACCTCATGCGTTAACAAATTAACAATTAACGATAAATTGGCCTGCTCTTAGCCAATCACAGTGAAATAATTTTAACAGTCATATAATAAATGATATAGTATTACCAGGATTATGCAATTTGGCCTAACTGTCCCGCTTGCGGAGATAGCCATATGATAAATGTTTTTTCTTGTAGGTATGATGCCCAAGAGGCCGTTGATATCTTGCTGAAGAGGGGAGCTAAACCAAACGTCACGTCTACTTCGAGCGGCTGTACCGCTCTCCATGTTGCCACGCAATTTGGCCACAAAAAGATCATTGAACGGCTGCTGAGTACGAAAAACTTGGATATTGACGCAACTGACCAGCAAGGAATGACCGCTCTTCACATAGCCATCAGTCGAGGATATGAGGATGTTTGCAGATATCTCATTAATAATGGAGCCAGTATTAACATCAGCACAAAACAGGGACGCACTTGCCTTCATCTGGCAGCTAACGCTGGCAGCACGGATATTGTGGATTTGGTGATTCAATCTGGTGGGTATGGACGTTTTACCAAAAACAAACTAATCTATTTATTCCTGTCTAAGAATCAAATAATACTTACTGAACTCATCGGTTTGTATTAAAAGAAAATTTTGAGGATAACAATATGAAGTAAATGCTGAGTATCCGCAGAATAAAGCTTTGACCTTGTATGTTTATTGTTGTTGCCATTTTTTACTTCATTTCAGCTCTGAGAGATAGTTTAAGGTATCCAGGTGTGGCGATACAGTCGAACAAAACTAATCCAGAAGTCATTCGGTTTGTTAACGAAAAAGACGCGTACCAGAACTCAGCACTTCACATGGCTGTTCAGACAGGTCACGTGTCAATGTGCCAAGTCCTTTTGCAGCATGGTGCTGAAGTCAACGTCCAAAATAAGTGCTCAAAGACTCCTTTACAAATGGCGTCCATGGGAAAAAACAGAGAGATTTTGGAATTACTCATCAAACAAGGAGCACAAACAAACACGAATGATCGTAACCAAAGAACTCCTCTGCACAGGTAGGTAGTACAGGGAATAGGCTTGAATGCGAAAGTCTAAGAATGTACACCTTGTTCCAAAATAGCGGCCAATTTATTATTATTTTGTTTGCATGTTAATTAGTCATCTTTACCTCATTTTCACTTCAACATTCTTTTGTATTTTGTACATTTGACGAGGCAAAGAGGACTAATTACCATGTAACAAAATAATAATAAACTGACTGCCATTGTGGAATTAGGTGTATTGTATAATCACAACATAATCAGTCATAATTGCTTATGTCCTAATTATTAATGTTTGGTTGTGGTTGTTGTTCTTTTTGTTCTTTTCGTTGTTATATGAGGAGAACTTTAATTTGTTATTTGTATCATCATGTGCAGGTGGGCGAAGGGGCGTTTCAAATATTTTAAAAGCTTTGGACTTCAACCGGTAGTCTGGGAACAATAATTTTAATTGACTGACTGACTGACGGTTCAAGCATTCTGACTGACCGTTCAGAAATCATTCGATCGATTGATCGATCAACTGCTTGAACGATTGATTTTTGTTTAATGCTCTTTCTTAGTGCGGCGTCTTTTGGAAACCCAGAATGCATCGAGCTTCTTCTCAAGCATTTAACATCTATAGATCACACGGACGCTGATGGTATGACGCCATTTCTCTGCGCAGTAGCCGCTGGTCATACAAACTGTGCAAAGTTGCTTCTCGAGTCTGGAGCGGATATCGCAGCTCGTGACAAGTACCAGAGATGCTGTGTTCATCTGGCTGTAGAAAACGACAAGGGAGATGTGTTGAAGATGCTGCTGCAGAGATCTGGGCCAGGTCTTTGCAATGTTCCTGATATGCATGAAAGGACAGCATTGCATTACGCTGCTTTATCTGCAAAAACAGGAGTAAGAGCTAAAACTAGTTGTAAATATAAATCAATTTGAAAATGAAATATCCAAATTCTAAACTGTAAATGTATGAATGCATGAAAGAGTCTAGGTTTCCTTCGAGTAAGGCCTTTAACAAGCCTAATAATACACATGAAAAAACTACTCGATTTTAATTGGCTGAGAGCAGTGCAGTTCAAGTGTAACACCACTGCAAAAAGTGTAACACCAGTGTAAAACGTGTAACACCAGTGCAAATTACACATCGTAATTCTGGATTATGATAGGCTGAAAGAAAATGAAAAATTTTCTAAGCCAAGAATACCACGTGAAATGATGACGGAAATTTTGTACAGAAACTTTGAAAAAAAGTTTTCTCGAATGAGAGAAAAATGACTTCAAGAAAGATCTTCCGGCACCTTCTCCACGCGAGTTTTTTCATGTTTATGTTATTAATAAGTAATTACACGGTTTTTCTCGTTCAATTTGGAATTAATTTGCACTTGTGAGTTTTTGAAAAAGGCAAATTAATTCCAAATTGAACTCGAAACCGTATGATTACGTATACTTAAACCAAACTTCCTCTTTTGCATTCACACAAATAAATGAGGCGAAACATGACAAAATGACAGCTTATTTTAGTATACGTTACAATTTTAAAGTTCCTTTTTTTTTTTTCATTTTTTAAGCTTCTGGACATTTTGTTGGAGGAGAAAGCGAACTGCCTGCTTCAGGATGGTAATGGAAAGACGCCATTACATATAGCTGCCGAGACTGGGAATGCACGCCATGTTAAAGCTCTAATCAAGGCTTCTTTCGCCAGTGTTCGTCAAAAAGATGTAGACGGTAGAACACCGCTACATTTTGCGGCCTTGAACGGAGAAAGGTTAGGGATTGGCATTGCAAACTAAAGATCAGACTCATTTTCATTCAAAAGCATCGCACTTGGCCACGTTTTAAATTAAAACAGAAACAACAGGCAACTCTAAAATATTCACGTTCGACAAAATGAAAGCACTCTACCAAACAATTATATATTAAAGTGAAAAGGTCAAACGTTTGGAGCGTTAGCCTTCATCAGTGAATCATCATTTGTTCCTAGAACCCTACTAGAGAGCCGAGACAGGTTGAAACTCCTGTGTAAATTTTTGTGACCTGCAAATGTAGTTTCAAAACATGGCAAATAAATTGTGCTGCTGTTACGTAAATTGAGAAGAAAAAATAACAATCGCAACTTCAAGGAATAATACTTCCGTTTCTACGGCCCTTTTCAGTGTCGGATCTATAGGTGGGGGCCCGGGCTCCCCAGGCTCCCACCCATTATTTGGGTAAAAGAAAAATCGCATAAAGAAGAAAAGCCTGCAGGGCATGCTAAAAAACCGGGAACTCCCTTAGCTCAAGATCTGGATCCGCCACTGCTTTTAGCAGACACACCGCGCGTTCTGCTGAAATCCAAGAACCTGATCGGTTCTGCCATTGATGACTTTTCCCTGTTAGAACACCATCGTGTCCTAGTTTCTCTAGAATAGCTTCCTATGAGAAAGATGTCAGCAAGACTCTCTACCGGTTTTTAAATATTATTTTCACCTTTCATCGCAGGAAAATCTGTTCAATTTTGCTCCAAATGGGTGCTGAAGTGGATAGTTCTGACATCTATGGCTGGACGCCCCTTTCGTTTGCTGCCAAGACAGGGGCTATTAGCTTAATTCAAATGTTTCTCGACTTAAACGCCAACATAGACCACCAAGACCAAACAGGAAACACAGCGCTCCTGATTGCATCTGCGAGAGGTCACGTGAATGCTGTAAAGATCCTTTTAAATCGACAAGCAAGCTTGAAGCCGGATGAAAATGGACTTAACTGCCTTGATGTGGCTATTGAGAATCAGCAGGAAGACGTAATTATGGCTATAATAAAAAATGCCAGGTGACGACATGCCAAATTTCCTTGAAGTTAAATCCCTTAGTTGCTTGTAACAGCAGAGCAGAGTCAACTGTGCTTCGAAATTACTCAACCTCACCCCAGCAACCCACCAAAAAAAGAAAAAACTGGTCTACCCTCTCAACCATTCAATTTTTGTAAAAGTAAACCAATAACAGGCAAGCTGCAATATGTGCATGCGTTACTCTAAACAATATAAGGTTCTAGCTTGTCCAGTTGATTTTGAGCTTTCATACCTGTAAAATCTGTAATTGTATGAATGTTTTTCTCGTATCCAGATGGAGGGAGGTCTTGTCAGCGAAGAGCCCTGATGACCAGAATCGAATGGGGAAGCTCATTCAACGGTTTCCAGTTGTCGCCGCGTCTGTCATGAATCGCTGTATCCAGCGGTCTCTACCTCAACGCTCTATCACGTACGACTTTCGTCTTCTCGATCCAGGACCTGATGATCAAAGTGGACTAAACGCAGAGCCTTTCTTCGGCCTCATGTTTATGGTAAAACACAAACAAACGGACCTCCTGGTACATGATCTTAGCAGGAAACTTCTTAAGATCAAGTGGCGCTGTTATGGATGGTTCGTCTACTGGACAAACCTTGTTGTGTATTCCTTGTTCCTTGCTCTGACGACGTATTTCATGTTAACGCAGCGCAAACTTGTTACCCTCAAACCCCACAATGATGAAGATTCCGACGATGATATTGATGATAACTTTATGCAGAAAGACTCCTTCAACAATATATCTGGATTTCTTATCCTGATATTTGCATCATTCCATCTAGCCAAAGAACTCTATCAAATATTCACACAACGAATGGAGTATTTCAAACAATGGACAAACGCACTGGAATGGGTACTTTACGTGGCAACCATAATGTTTGTGCTTCCCTACGTGTTTCCTAGCGCTTCAAGTCTTCGAGGCGATCCCAGGATTTCCTGGCAAATGGGAACAGTTGCCGTTTTTCTAGGATACATGAACTTGATTTTGTTTGTGCAGACTTTGGATTATGTTGGCATCTACGTGACAATGTTTATTCGAGTAGCAACGACGGTGCTCAAAACCATCGGTCTTTTCACGTTGTTTGCTGTTGCCTTCTCAGTGGTCTTCTACATACTCTTCAGAGAACAGGTAAAATATTATATTCTGAAGTTATTTACAACCATTGGGCGTACAAAGAGACAACTAGGAATTAGTGTGACTAGGTTTTTCAGAATTTTGAAGAGAGGTTATTTATTTATCCCTTTCTAAAATTTGACGTGCCATCTGTTTCCCCAAATCATTTGCTATTGTTATGGCATTGACGTCAAGGCCAGCCAAATGTTTCTTTTTTGACAGAACTCGTGCTTTTTTAAGTTTTCTGAAGGATTATAACAGAATTTACTCTTTTTAACATCCCATTGCCATTTTGGATTGGTTTTCCATCATGCGTCATCATATGAATTTTTACAGGTCTCTTATGTCATTACCTTTGTCTCTTTTTTAGGATGCGTTTGACACCTTTTTCATGACGCTTATGAAGGTGTTTGTAATGACCATCGGCGAGATAGACTATGACACTATGTTAGTGGACAACTTAGATGCGAAGAATCCAGATAATGGTGCGCCTCTGGTGCCCTACAGTGAATCTTCTTTTGTGTTCATGTGCATCTTTATCTTTGCTATGCCCATAATCCTTATGAATCTCCTGGTGAGTAATAGTATTTACGACGAGTTTTAAAGGAATCTGTATTTTGAAGCAAGGGAGGGGGTATTCAGTAGATGCTGAAATCCAGAGGGCCCTACATCTAAAGACATGCACCACATTAAATTTAGGAAGCTAAAGAGATTTGTCAAATAATATGTTGATTCAGGAGCCATAATCGGGGACGGAGACAGTAAGCGCGCGCCATTTCTAGTATTGGGGTTGTCCCCATGATATGGGACAATAATTCTATTTTTAGAACAAATTGCGCCATCGCCTGCGGCACACG